AGTGGGCACAGGGCCTTATGTGCTAAAACATGTTATAATGTTAAAATGAAATTGAGTAGCCCTTACTGTATTCTGTTTGGGCTGTAAGATAACAGACCCAAGGCACTCTAAGAGGTTAATAAAAAAAGATGCCACTGGGTTTTGCCCACCAGGCGGATGTTTTGGCTGCTAGAATCGAGCCACAAACAGCTGTTACTTTCTGAGGCCTCGTGCTGCCTGGTGGGATTTGGAGGAGGAGTGTGTGACAGAACTTCGTTGCGCTGTCTGTTCCTCACTTCCTGATTTCAATGGTCTGATGGGGGTGGTGACTTGCACTCGAGTCAGACTTGAGTCACTATTTTTAGGACTTGAGACTTGATTTGATAAAATTGACTAAAAACTTGGGAGTCAACTTGGACTTGAAGGTCAGTGACTTGAGAAAACTTGATGCTAAAAAATATGTTTTTAGAAAATACTTTTCTCTTTTCAGTTAATACATGCAGTGCTGAATTTTATAAGAACAAACTAGAACATGTCCGTCCCACTTCTCTGTTTGCATCTTTGGATGTAACTGAAGTACAGTGATAGAATAGAAATAGAATTGAAAGCCTTTATTGTCATTATACAGTATAATGAAATTCAGAGCTGCTCTGTCAAAGTGCAAGAATTAAACAAAATAAATAAAACAAATGAACAGTTCTCATTCAGTATGGTGACAGCTTTGGGGAAGAAGCTGTCCCTGAGTCTGTTGGTCCTAGCTGGAATTGATATGGTACTACAAATGTACTAGAGTAATATACAGTACAATACAGTAAAACAGAGGGAACTACACAGAACATCCTTCATTCAGTGCAGACTACATGACAAAATAACTGTTATTAAGCACTTTTAAATCTTAATTCTTTCTGTTCTGGTCATAATTATTCACACTAAGATCTTGTCAAGGCATTTAAAAAGGAAACAATAGCATTTCTATAACTCTTATATAAATACTCACATATAAATATACCATGACTTTTTACTGTTTAGTTTAAAAGTCATATAAATTGCAGAAATCTAAACTGAATTTGGTACTTTGGTTTAAAATTTGAAATGACCTGTACTTGACTTGGACTTACGGGCCAGTGACTCGAGACTCGACTTGGACTTGCCTGTCTTTGACTTGGGACTTGACTTGGACTTGAGGTCAAAGACTCGAGACTTACTTGAGACTCGCAACACAATGACTTGGTCCCACCTCTGATAACCAGGTAAATACATCTAGCAAAGAAAATGCCTGCGAGAGGGAGTGGAAAGATTAAGTTAAAACAGCTTAAAAACAACAACACCATCAACAAAACAACCCACAATATCTGAACTTTAAATGGCGAAGTTCCCCTGAATGTAACCATATCATAACTTCTTAGATAGTTAAGTTAGGCAGTTCCATTAACACGAACAAAGTCCAAAATCAATGAAATCTGATGTGGGGCCCCTTTTGCGGTTAGTGTTAACATGTCCAGAGTTATCACTGAACAAGCCATCCACTCTGCTGCCTTCTGATGGAGCAATACTTGGGGGCTGTGTAATTATATTGCTTTAAATGTGCCCAGGAGAACGCCCCTGCCAATGCACCCACCAAGTCTCAACACTTGGGCGAGAGTCAGAAACACAACACTGGTGCGTGCCCACGTGTGATCGCTGCAGTGTGTGTGCGCGCGTGCGTTTGCCGCTCTGTTAAAAGGGAGGCGCGCTGGTACGGATACGCCTCACAAGTGAATTTAATTAAATCATAAATATGAGCTGGAGGCCGCCACCCAATTTAATGTAATGGATGATGTGGGCCAGTCCATCTCTGGCAAAGCAAAGTTCTGGACCGACTCGGAATGCCCTTGAAGCTTATTAAAAGTGGCTGGCACACGGAGACACTAGCGAAGTTGTTTAATGGATGCCCAGCTTGCATTTAGAATGATGGTTAATGGCGGGCTGTACCATCTCCGGTTGGCGCGGGGAGTTGCATTGTAGAGGAGTCTCCAATGGTCGTCTGTTGTGCATTAAAGTCACGCTATCAAAGCATACAGATGACAGACAACATGCGAGGATAATGTCACGCCTCAGATATGCTAACAGCTAACGCCAGAAGAGCCCGAGTCAGCAGTTCAATGTGTGGTCCCAGAGCACAACTAAATATATACGGGACTGGGATTTATCACTATTTATCCTTATCTTTCATATTCTGGGTTATTGAACATGTTCTGTTTTTCATTCTGTTGTTTGGGTCTATACGAACGCTATAAATAAAATAAATCCAACCATTTTGGTGACAACATACACGGACATTTTCTGTTGTTTCAGTTCTGTTCACGGGTTTTCCATCACATAACTTTTCTTGTTAATGTGGATCCCATTTTTAAGACTTCTAACCAATCAAAAGCAACATTTAGAACTGATTATTGGAAGCTGTACTGAACCCAAAGATAGTTTCAGTGTTGTTATCTAGCCTGATTCATGAGCCGGTTTCACTTCGTAGAAACTGTCTGACCTTGCAGCATTAGGATTTGTTCACTCGACGGTAGGCAGGTACTTTTTTATTTAACCAGTCGCTATTTGGTCATGACGTATGTAATGGGGCTAATGGGGCTAACTGGTATATTAAGCTTTTCCCAAATGCCATAGGAAGAAGAGCAATAATGTCTTTCCACTTGATAAAATTCACCAAACATTCTCTTTGTTCCAGCTTTAAATCTTCTATCTTGGGAATCGTTGCCAGTGCAGAATGTATGGCTTCGTCTACATCTGTCTCGACCGCTTTGATTACTGTTGTGCTGTACCACAAGGAACCCAGTCATGGCGTCACAGCTCTTGGCTGATTGGCCGGTGTGCAGTCTACAACTTGGAGGTACCTGCAAACCTAGTGTATTTCAATTCCTGACCTAGTCACTGGAGAGAAATTAAATTGAGTGGAGTCACTAGTTATCAGGGTTCCCACTCTTTTTCACAGAGAAAATTTCAAAACTTTTCCATGACTTAAAGTGAATTTTCCATGACTTTACGGCACCCTACATGTATAGAATTGATGATACTTTCAAGGCTAAATATGAAATGATAACCCTTTCCACTCACCTTATGGTTTGGTATTACAGTTTTTAACATTTGTCTCTTTGAAACAAAAGGCACTAAAGATACTAAAATGCCATGACTATTCCAAAACTTTCATTGGATTTACAAAATTCCATGCATATTCCAGGCCTGGAAAATGACACTTTCAATTTCCATGACTTTTCCGAGATATTTCATGACTGTGGGAACCCTGAGTTACACAAAGATCACAGACACAACCCCATTGAATTCTAGTAATAAATTGTCTTTTCAAAGTGTTTTTGAATTGCCTATATGTCCTATATTACACAAAATTTACCCACATGAGCTTTTAGGCATGTTAGAATGTTGTTACTTCTTCAAAAACATACCTGGAGTTGTGTTTTGTTTCATTCACACATGTTTAAGTAACCCTTTATTATTAGTCTATCTACATCTCAAAATGTCAAGATGCTCTGTTCTGCCTTGTGATGTCATGAAGCAGTAGTATTGAAGTGAATAACTACATTTTACCTTTTGTTCAGGGGAGATTCGCAACTCCAGGGCTGAAATGATCCAAATGATTCTACTGAAACACAGTGGAGCACTTCCTGTATTACCACAGAGAGAAGGGTTTTGCGTGTTAAACATGTGCGACTTAAACACAACTGCAGATATGTTTTTGATGAGGAAACAACATTATAACATAAATCAAAAATCTGTGTAATGTGGCCCTTTAAGTCAGCATAGCCCATAGCAAAGTAAGAAAAAAAATCAAATGGCAGTAGTCAGCACCTAACTAAATCAAGTTCAGTAACAGTTCAGCTTTGTAAGGTTAAAACTTTATGGTAATACGTCCCAAATGTTCAGCAAACTGAACATGCTCAACCCTATCCTGAGCTCTATAGGGCCATGATGGAGGTCTATGTTCTCTCAGTTGTTCCACTTTTAAGTAAAATTCCATCAATCTAACTTCAATCCTGGTTGCTAAATTCCTTTGAAACCTTTGATTTCTCTACCATACATCCCCTAACGCTCTCTGTTCCTCTAAAACAAAACCCACCTAGACCCTTTTCCCCCAAACAATACCCAATCTTTAACAAATGTTTTGCCTCTTCGTGTCACTGTTGATGAATCATTCTCCGAGACAGGCAGATGTTGCAGCGCGGCTCTCGTCCCGATCGGCAAAAGTCTTGGTGAATCTTTCTTTCTCCGTAGTCCCCCGGAGTGCTGCAGCCTCCCTAAATAGAGCGCGCATGGGTGTGTGGAATGGGGACCGCACAGGGTGATGGGTAATGGAGTCATTAATAACAGCAGACCTCCCTTAAGATGCTCAGATGTTCGTTAGCAAGAGCCACGAGGGAGCGGAGGAAAATAGCATGCAGTTTGATACAATGGAAATAGAAAAAAGGTATAGGATTCTGTTGATGATTATGCTTTTGTGAGATGGGCTGATTGAGAATGCCTGGACAAAAGAAGGCGTAGAGATTTGTTATGTAATAATATACACATGAAAGAGGTTAATCAAATATGAAAAAATCTAATATAAAAGTAAAAACAATCAAGAAATATATCTGTTTTGGTGTTGGGCATGCCTTTATAGAAAAACATTTTATTATTATTTTTAATTTCTTAAAAAAAAAAACACCTAACAATTAATGCGTATGGAATGAAATCTAAAGTCTACCACAGCAGGTTACTAAATGAAATGAAAACGAATGAAAATTTGATTAAGTAAAATGTAATGACTTTGTGACACACTGTGATGTTTTGGCAATGATATATATATATTTGAGAGAAAAACGAATTCCATCAAATTTTTAGAGCTACAAAATAAATAAAAAGAAGAAGAAAAAAAAAAGTAAAATTATGTTTTCGTGTTGTGTGTTGATTTCCCAGACAAGAAGTTAGAACTAAACAACATGAGATAACAAAGTGGAAGCACAAATTCCAACAAAATCATAGTAAGTATTCATACAGTTTTTAATATTTTCATCACATGTGCAACACAAAAAACGAGGTCTGCCAAATACAGAACTCCATATTTGTACAATACATTTTAATAACATCAGAGATAAACGTCCTTTTGCGCCAGGAGATGTTGATTTGTCCTGTAAACTGCGTCAATGAAAATGTCCAAAAACATCATAATACAAAAGTGCATCTCAAAACATTACCAATATAACAGAATGGATACGAAGAGTTGTGCCAAGGTGGCATCCAGCTTGAGAGGCTAGCTGTGTTTAAACTTCATGACCCCCCAAAATGAAAATCCTTTAAAAAAAAGAGAGAAAGAAACAAAAACATAGAAATATTCCAGTAATCTCCAGGCTTGGACGAGCAGTAAACATTAACAACAGAAATGTACAGGTTGAATTAGCGGAATCCACATGGGAGCTTCATCATGGCTCTCTGATCGCTAGCCAGTTTTCCAAATGTGTGTCACTGCTTTTGCATATATCAGCATCCTGTCCTGCTTTCTCTCCTCGCGTTTTATGTTCTTTTATTTTTTCAACTCCATTGCAGATTATTTGCACCACTGGTCCTCTGGTTTCTATTGATTGACCGTACTTGCAGAATGACGTCGTCCGCAGATAGGCTGGAAAAGTGCCTTCTTAACCCCAACCGTTTTTCTTTTTTTTTATACAAACATTTTTTTCGTTCTGTACAATTGCAAATACTGTTTTAAGATTGCGATATAACTGGTAAGCAACACATGAAGGATTTTTATATACAAAGAGAATTGATTTTTCCAAACAATTGTCAGTAAGGAGGGTTAAAGTCCAGCCTCCCCTTGTCCACAGATACAGATTGTGTTCCTGGTTCAGTTGGAGTGAAGTCAGTGGGAGAAGATGCACTAACTGTAACAGGTGGTCACATGATGTTGTCTGATGTCACGTGACCTCGATCCGGGCCAGGCGTTGGTGTCGGCCATGTTAGCTGCTGCTGCTGTGCTGAGTCAACGTGTGGTTCTGCCAAAGACACACAAAAAAAAGGAAGGATAGAGGGTTAGAAATGCAACAGTTGGCCAAATGTTTCACTGTACTGGGTACTGGGTAAAATGAGTTTGAATATTTGAAGTTATGGCAAAGATAGTAAAATCAGCCACTGTCCTTTTGTGAGACGTATTCATAGGTTTCAGCTTCCGGTTATAGGTGACATTATGAGAACTTTTACCATTCAAAAGATATAACATTTTGGTGAAAATTGTTGCTACGGGAACAATCCTACTTTCTCATCATTCTGGATAGGAAGTTATCAGTTCATTTTTTAAAATTCAGAATAAATTCTCTATAAAAATGTTTCAACCGATAAGAAATGCAACACATAATAAAGAGAGGTCAAATCTACAAACTATAATGCACATAAAAGTTATTAAAACTACTAGGGAACAATAACAATAACCAAAATATCATGATATCGTATCGTCAAAGTTCTCACAATAATATCGTGGACCATCACAATATATCGAATTACAAATCTCTTTGCTTAAATTAAGAGTTATGGTGCGACAATAGCTAAAAAAAAAAAAGACAGAGGGAACTACATAGACCATGATCCTTTGCTCCTTTTCAGTGTAGACTACAGGAAGAAATAACAGTTCTAAGCACTTTTAAGTCTTAGTTCTTTGGATTAAGTCTTGTCAAGGCATTTTAAGAGGAAAAAGTAACATATTGGCAGTTTTGTTTGCCTCCACAAAATATCTCAATAAATATCATATCGTGAAATGTATATCGTGAAAATATTGTACCGAGAGATTTGGATATTGATACATTACTAATTGTGAGCCTCCCCACCATATCATGAGCTTTCCCACAATATTGCAGTAAATATTGTACCGTGAGGTTCATACCGTGACGATATTGTATCGTGAAACTTGAATATTGTTACACCCCAAAAAATTACTATGAAATTTGAGTTTAAAGGATAAAACATTTATCCCTAAACCAATTGTATATTTTCAGATTTTTTGTGGCAAAAATGCAAAAAAAAATTGTGTATTTTAATTTCATAACAATTTCTTAAACAAGTTATACCAATGTCTCTGTATTTGGTCCTTTCAAAAAATAAAATACTGTATTGACATGTCATGAATCTGTCCATCAAATACTCTCTTGTATTTCTAGTACTAACCAGCATCTTATGCTTGATAGATATATTTCAGTTCTGTATTTTCTTAAAATATATACACTTTTACATTCAGAAACCTTCAAACTTACAAGTGCACTCAAACAATCTAACACCATTCCTTGCAGATAATTACTTTGACATTTAAAAATCACAGCTATCAAATCCAATAGCACTGAAGTCATACGTTACACAGATCAATGGCGGTAGGTAAGCTGTGGGACTCAACATGGACGCACCGGTGTCATATAAAAGCAAGACAGCATTGACAAGACAACATCCAATTTCTCTGAGACAAATCTATGACACAGTTCTGACACACCTGAAAAAGCATTCTCCTCAGAGCCTTGTTTATATGTTTATGGCCTATATGTATTGACCAATGTAGTGCACAGGTGAGGCTATGGATCAGTACCAACCCCCCACACAAATATGTGTCCTATTGACACATGCATATGCGCACACGTGGCGAGCGCTTGTGGTGGGGCAGCTGTGCCAGGTTTCTTTAAAGGGGAGTGTCGACCAGGGGGTGTGTAACTGGTGTCCCTGGTGGGCAGAATCCAGGTCATCTTTTGAAGTGGCTGCTAATCCCTTTAATGCAAACTACATGCCCCACTTGCTGCTCTGTTTCAAAACACGGCCTTGGAGCTGGCATGGACTAGACGCACCTGTCACACGCGCTGTCAACACGCATGGATACATTCTATAGTAGTAGTAGTGCAAATATATAAGTAGAAATTTAAGAGGGAGAGAAAGCAAATACATTTGTATCAGCTAACTTAAAGCCACTGTAGCAGTTTTTTTTTTTACCATCTTCAAGACTTAAAAACAGAACTAGATCATTTACAACCATTTGCAAACATACCTCACTTTCATAATGGATTCTTAACTCACAGCAGAGTTTTGTCGTTATGCTAAAGCTAATAATAACTAACATGCTAACAGCACACTTCTTGGTTTGCCAAATTATAAAAATCCTTCATAAATAGATGCAGACAGAACACAGTGGTCTCATTTCAAGCTTTGCAATATAGCTGCACTGTGGCAAGACACATTTTGCTCAACGTGGACAAAAATCAAGTAACTGAAGCCACTTAAAGTAGTGGTATCAGTAATTAATTGATTAATTATAATGCCTTACAGAATTCGGCTTTACAAGTTTGATGAGCATCTGAAAACACTACACTGTATTCATTACATACTCACTCCATACATACTTGTGGTAGGTCACTTTCTAGCCAGAGCTGCCTTGGGGAAGACTGAGAAAAACAAGGCTGCCATTCCTCCGATCACTCATGCCTAACACATTCATAGGCAAGGTCAATGAAGTGCCTTGCCCATGGACACAACAACGACACACAACATTTGTTGGTGTTGTGACTAAACTGCTGCCCCACTCTTGGTGTAAGAGTAATAATAGTATACTGTAGTAGCTGCAATAGTAGTAGCAGAAAATGGCCTGTTGCCTGGTTTCAGAAAAGATTCAAATCGACTGTGTCAAGATGTTTATTGGAATAACTGCCATCAACAATTTCAGCAGTGAGGTTAACAAATTTTGTACTAATTATTAATAGTTTTACAGTGTTAATTCTAAGCCCTGCACATGAGTACACGTTTTGTACCAGTAACCTCTGCTGTAAACAAGCCCCTGATGTCACTCTTGCTGTTTGAAACCCACTTCGGCCATTTTGGGGAGCTTTACCAAAACAGTCACCTTCAATCCTGTAGGTGCACAGCCCCTGAGGCTAAGCTAGCCTATAGCAGATACCCATTAGCCCCCTCTGTATTCATCTCTTTCCTCTTTACCCTTTCGGCTGCCTCTGTATAAAGCATTTAAACACCTCGACAGCTTTCCTTTCAGCCGGGCCGATTACTTCCCGACAGGTGGGGTAATAAGCTGTTTGACGGGGAGCAGGAGGGTGACCCCAGGAAGGGTTAGCGTGCTTCGCTAGGGCCCCTCCACCGCTGCTTCCTTTTGGGTTTTTTTTTAAAGAACAGCACTGCCTCTCTCTTCTCTCTCTCTCCTCTCTGCTGAAATCAAGCTCCTCTAAGTGAGTCTGGAGGAGATTCCCAACGGGATGCTCTCTCTTTCTACCTCACCTCCTCCACCCTCCCTCTCTCCCTCTATCTCTCCCTATACCCCCTGGTGAAGACATCCTTGGCGTTGCGGAGGAGAGGGACAGGAGCAACCTTATTAATGAATGCGGCCCATTACCCGTCAGCCTGGCTCCTCTGCGACTCCCCAATGCCCTCGCTGTACGTGACTTCAAATGGCAGGATATTGACACGGGCAGAGCAGAGCGGCTAAGACTAAACGTGTGTGTGTGCGCGAGCGAGGAGGGAGAAAGAAAAGAAATTTGTGCTCGCCTTTGTGTGACTGCCTAGGTGTGTGTGGACCCCAAAGGAACGGGGCTCCTTGGATATAATGTAGGGCTCGTAACAGCTATTAGAGGGGAAAATAACGCCTCCAGGGGCCGACTCTCCCCCCTCCAAATGTCCCAGCCCTGTCTAACACACTGCAGTCTACCTGTTCCTTAAACATGCCGGCAGTTTTCTCACCGAGGGCTTTCTCAAGGACGGTGTTAAACGACTTCACCAGCGGAGGCAGCCACGGCAACGGAAAAAGAAAAAAAAAAAACATAGAGAGAAAAGTAAAGCTGATACCTTCATCTCGGTGGATATTGAACTCCGCAGAGGAGCTATAAGCCGTTGGTTGCGTGAGGACGAGATGGGACCCAGAGAATTTACTTTCCAATCTTCAGCCTTGTCAACTTCTTCAAGTAGCTTTTGCACTACACTGGGAAGTTAAACACATCTGATGCAGCCTCCCCACAGACAGGGAAAAGAACAGTGGACCAATTGACGGAGACACCCATAAAGATTCACGGCGGACTGCAGAGGAGGGAGTTGGCAGATTGAGTTTAGGCAAGTAAAAGTGATATTCACAGAAGGTCAGCAACTTGTGAAAGAAACGAAGAATAAGTGCAGTTGAAAACAATTGCTGCACTGGTTTCCATGAGAAGTCTACAACTAATATGACTACAGCTACTACTGTAATTATTACTACTAGAAGCATAATAGGTATCACAGTGGGAGTTCACACAAATCAAACCAAAGACTTTCACAAATCAAGATCCATACCTACTCAATTCAAATATGGTTCAAACTAAAAGGCTGGAGATAGATAAAGGTGACCCAGGCCTACTTAAGCTGTCAGTAAGAGCTGCAGTTAGTCCTGTCTGCAGGTCCCATATGGATGTTCCAGAGAAAAGTGTCCAGTGCCCTGACATGAGGGGGATGTCACTAATGGTGTCACCCCAGAATCTCTGCAATTTGGGATTAGATGCCCTCCATTAAGCCTTTTAGCTCCAATCTCAGCCCCTTCACAAGAGCACTATCCCCCTGAAACTGTTCCCTTATCATCCATTTCCTCCCATTCTGTCCGGGTCTTAATCTGCTGCTGGGCTGGAGCCCCCTGCTGGTACAGAGGCCCGCGGCAGGGCCCACGCCGCTGGTGTTCAGGTAAAGCAGCCCAGTCAATCCCACACCAAATTAAATTTCACTCTGATCAATAGGAGCCTTATGAAGACACCCTGCATTTGCCTCTGCTTCCTCTTCCTCAGCTCAGCTGCCTCTCTGTGGCCCTGTTAAAACACCAGCACTTTCATGTGATTACATCACCCTCTGCAGCGCCCTGGGGCACATGAGGGGAGGGGGCTGCCCGGCAGGGGGCTTGTGTACCCATGCAAACAGGTGCAACATGTCTGAGGAGTTTAGCAGCTGCCTGCCGACAGGGAGAGTGAGGAGATGGGAGAGACTGGGGAAGAGCACAAAGTGATTTATG